ATGTGTCAGGTTTCATCAAATAGGTTGGGCATAATAGATTATTGTAATGAAGTTGATAATTTTTATTAATTATACACTATCTAATCCGTTAAATAGTAGTGGAAGCGATATTTAATGTCCATGTAAAAGGTATAAAAAAAAATCGATCCATATAGGGTCACGATGCATCTTCTACAAAAAAGTTAATGAAAAAAATACTTATACTGGTTTGCACACAGAAAACTATATGTTCCTTATAAGACTATGGTAAAAATTATGATTATATCAACTTTTAATTCTAATAACGTGTATGAAGTTATAGAAGATAATAATAATTATCATAGGAGTATGTTTATAGATGTAATGAGAATGGATCAGGGTGATGCAAATGAATGTTCAATTATAAATGAAAAATCAAATGCAATTGCAATCAAATTTTTTGATCTTTTGAAAAATTTCAATAAATCATTATGAAATGAGTGCACAAATCATAATAAATTATTAGCATTTGCATAGGTGTTCATCATCAAGTTAGATACTAGGCTTAACGAGGTCGGTTATGATAAAATCATTGAACAAGTGAAAAACATTTTCCTAAATGAAAATTATAATAAATTATTGATATTTGTACATAAATTTATCATCAAGTTAAATCATAAGCTTAACGAGATTGATTATGATACAACCATTAGAAGCATTTAGCTAAAGAGAATAGAAAAAAAACTTTTATAAAATATATAAAATAATTGTATTATATACATACTCTACTTGAAAAAAAAAAAAACTTCAGAATATCAATATGAATACTGGATTCAATAGATAAGATATAAATGCTAAAGTTTTTTTTATTTGTTGAATAGTACATATAGTAGAAACTCTATTTCTTTTAATTAAAGATGTAATGCATCAAATTAATTTTTTATATTTATTTTTTCACTAATTAAAGTGAGTTGGTACGATGGAATTTGCATGATGGTATACTTGGTGGAGAATTCGAAACTATCTAACTCTTTAATGCCCTTAAAAGCAAGATATTCTGGTGCATTTCCATACTTGTTAGTTCTTTGGCTTAACAATTTCAAAATAATTATCATAATTGATCAGTGTAAATTAATGTGCCGAATTAATTCTTTATTTTCATAAATTGTAATGATAATTTTGACATTTCAATGTTAAGAAAAAAATAATATCACTCCACCCTTTGGAACTCAAAGATCTGTTCTGAGATCTATGTTATTAAGCATCAAGGCACGGTGATTGAAAGAAAACATAAAATAAAAAATGGTAAGCAAATAATTTTAGAGGATGGAAATATTAAGTTTGAAGCCTACAAATTTTATTTTTTATTTTTTGAAAACTATATTAATGCTTGATCTTATATTATCCAGAATTGCTTAACCAATAGTCCACTGAATTTTCTGTAGCATCAAGCATTCCGCTTCAAATTAATAAACCTTGAGGTAATGTTTGAAATAATATTTTTTTTAAAGTATTTTTTATTTAAAAATATATCAAAATAATATACATACATACATATATATTAACACATTAAAATTACCCAAAATTATAAATTATATTTTTTGAAAACTATATTAATGCTTGATCTTATATTATCCAGAATTGCTTAACCAATAGTCCACTGAATTTTCTGTAGCATCAAGCATTCCGCTTCAAATTAATAAACCTTGAGGTAATGTTTGAAATAATATTTTTTTTTAAAGTATTTTTTATTTAAAAATATATCAAAATAATATACATACATACATATATACATATATATATCAACACATTAAAATTACCCAAAATTATAAAAAAAATAATTTTAATTTCTTCTAAAAACAACATAAAAACAATAATGAGTTGTTAGATTAAAAAAGAATTGAAATTGTCAGCCATTGGACTGCACTACAATAATTAACTAGCTATTTAACCCGTCTACTCGTGGGTTATAATTTTTTTTCAAAAACATACCAAGTGTACATGTTGCTTGAATGTGGTTTTTTACATACAAAAATTAAAGTATAAATTAAAAAATCTATGTAAAAAAGATCAAGATATTTCATAACATAAAATGAGACATGTTTCCAATTATATCTATTAAACTTATTTATTTAAATAAATAAAAATATAAATCTACACCCTAAAAAACTCATGATTTAAAAAGATAAATCCAGATAAAACTGACTAAATAAACCCACACCATAAAAAATATCATGCAAGGAAGAACATATCGATAATATAATCTAAAAATGAATATTTTTTATTTTAAAAAATAAATTTCAATTGTATAAAAAAATTATAGATGAAATAGATCAATATCTTGAAAAATAAAATAGAAACAAAACGACTAGAAAAACTTATATAAAAAAAAAATGTAAAAATCATAACTTAGATCATGAGATTAAGATAACCTTATAGAAAAAACTTGAAAATAATTACAAAACTAGTATTAAAAAAATCTAATGCAAAACGATATGATTGTACGAAGCCAAATTACCAACAAATTAAATATCAAAAGATAAAACTGAAAAAAAAAATTAGTTACACAGAAGGATAGACAAAAATAAGGATGAGAAAAAAATTAATTAGAGGGATAAAAATTTTCAATTGAAGGATTTAATTGAACTAGAGAATAGCTTTAATAAAAAAAAAAAAACAAAGAGGGTCAAATTGAAAAAAATAAAACACATAAAATTTAATTTTAGGATGAACTTTAATAAAAAAAAACAAAAAGGGTCAAACTGAAAAAACTAAAACACATAAAATTTAATTTTAGGATGAAATAGGAAGGAAAAAAAATTCAATATAAGTGTTAAGGATAAAATTAGAAATTTTAAAAAACAAGGATCAAAATGAAAAACGAAACATATGAGAAATTGCAATTGAAGGACTAAATTGAAAAAAATAAAAAATTCTAAAAATAAAAAAAATGAAATAAGAAATTAATAGATTGGGAATTGAAATTGAAAAATAAAAAATAAAGATGACAATGGTGTACAATACCTATCAAGAGAGATAAAAAAGGGAAAAAAACCAAACAACCACTAATGATAATTCAACCATTGTAAGTTGCCACATGCTACTATAAATAGAAGAGGAATTAATGATGTATTTAGAGAGACGAAGAAAGGCCAATTATATCCATAGAGTGATGTCACACGTGCCAGTTGAATGGACAATGATACTACTCACGCGTCGGGATGTGTCAATCATGCTTTAGTAGCTTTAAGCATTATAAAATGCAAGAAAATATGCTCATATAACTCCGACAATGACATAAAATACTCATATAAAAGTATAAAAATATCCTCAAATGCTAAACATATGTTTTGTTTCTTTCAAGATTAAAGATGTAATTGCATTATAGCATATGTTTTGTTTCTTTCAATATTAAAGATGTAATTGCATTATATATTGAAATTTAAAAACCTCAAATACCTTTAATCAACAATACAATAATTTTTAACTTTAAAAACAAATACGTATTTTTAATATTGAGAAGTTTATATAAAATCAAGAAATTACTTAATGAATAGTACTATAGTTTTATTGATTAAAAAAATATATTTTTACTATATATATATATATATATATATAACATTCCGGCACCATTTAGTTTTTTAGGTAAAAATTGGTAATAAACTAGATTGTTAATCAATGGCACTTAGATAGTTTGTTTATGAGGCTACGGCTGTGTTTTAATTACATCGCAGATTTAAATTGTTTGGTAATGAAAGAACAAGATTTACTGTTCATTGGTCCCATATTATTTTTGCGTCCGAAATGTATGGAAACAAAAGTAAGGAATTTTTGCCTTTTGCACTGAACAATGCAATTAACATGAATATTGTATATTTTTACATGGTTCATGCTAATTGCACTGTTCATTCCTACTCTGTTCTAGTCCAACCAGTTCCGGTTGAACAGGGTCTGATTCAAAGTTCAACATTTATTGAACTGGGTTCAACCCAGTAAAATAAAAAATAAAAAATATTTCATTGAACCGGGTTCAACTCAGTAAAATAAAAAATAAAAATTATTTTTAATTTTTTAATTATATTTTATTCAAAAAACTAATGTTTAACATTATTCAATAATACTATTAAATTAGATATAGATTGCTTAATAACATAGCATTTGTAAAATTTTATTGCAATTTCAATTTTGTTTCTAATTATATTTTATCTAATGTTGTTGCGTGTTTAAGAAATCAAAAAAACTATAGTCTTTGTCAGATATATTTCATACGTGATGGAATTGTAGCTTAATGTTGTTGCGTGTTTAAAAAATCAAAAAAACTATAGTCTTTGTCAAATATATTTCATACATGATGGAATGGTAGATAATTTAATAAAATAATGTAAAATATTTTATATAAAGTATTATTTATTTTATGATATAATAACAATAGTTAAATGTACAATATTTAAATTAAAAACCAACAACATTAATAAATATTTTTTAAACTTATTTTATAATCTCAATTTCAAAAGTATTATTAACTAAACACATTAAATTATTTTTTATTTATTTTTAATTTCAACTATAATTTTAATTAATGATACATAAATACTAAATTAACTTTAATCAAAATATTTTTTATAAAATATTTTTTTCTCAAAATATAATCACAATAATTACTATAATATTAAATACACGTATGAGAAACAACGGTCAAAGTCTTAACAAGAGTTTAGACTTTTAGACTTGTCTGGAAATGGAGACTTCCAATTTCAAGCAGCAATGAAGACCTTCATTACATTTACTAACGACATCTAGCTCTCATCCATGAAAAAGATTATAAAGATTTAGGTGTATTTAAAAGAGTGGTAATAGTACTTTTTGAAAATATTTTTTTTATTTTAAAATATATTAAAATAATATTTTTTTATTTTTAAAAAGTTATTTTTAATATTAGTATATAAAAAATATGAAAATATTAAAAATATGTTAATTAAAAATAAAATAAAAAATAACTTTTTTTAAAATACTTTCAAAATGTAACATCAAACACTGCTATACAATTCCAAGCAATGGGAGAGACAGGCAACTCCCAAGCACCTTCGTTAATTTACCAACTCCATTTAGCTCTTATTAATGGAAATTTCTCCTACTTTTACATATGACACCTAAACCAAGACTCTAATAAAAAAAAGAGAAAAAAGGAAAAAGAAAAAAAATAGTTGTACTAGCTAATAATTTGACAGAATCTAGAGGGAAATCGAAAGCACAAATCGAGGAGAGAGGAGAGAGGAGAGAGGAGAGAGATAGGCCATCATCAAGGCAGGCAGGCAGCGTAGCCAGCAACACAAATCCAAGGACGAGCAGGCAGCGTCTTCTGTTTGGGAAAATACAAAAACGAAAAATAAAAGCAAAGCACAGGCGCCCTTTATTGTTTATCACGAGGCTTCATCAAAAGAAATAGCTCCGAATTTAGTCAAGTTCTCCGTGGCAGATTCTTTATTCTCCCTCTTTCTCTCTTTGGACAAGCTTTGTCACTGCAGTCTATAAATATAGCGTTTCTCTGTTGTACAACTACTGGCGGATTCTGAAAGAGAGAGTCTTTGTTTTCATTTTAACTTTTTCTTGCTTTATCTTTGGCTGGGTTCTCTGTCTCTTCAGCTACTGGAAATACAGCAATGGCTGAGTATATCTGTTTATTGAACAAGGTGCCACCAAATTCTCTCTTTTCTCGCTCTCTTGTATGAGTTGAGTACTGGGATTTCCTTAAAATGCTATTTGTTTTTGTCTTTTTCTACTGCAAGGTTAGAACTTTTTTCCTTTTTTAATTTGGTTATCTGGGAAGTCTTGAAGGATATATATTTTTTTTGTTCAATTAGTTTTAGTGGTAGTGTATGCTGTAGAAAAGGCGATTTCATTTTATAAGTTGCTGTTTCAGTTTTGAAGTTCATTGATCTGTGGGGGAACATGTTTGAAATGGGTTTGGGTAGTAATGCACGTTCTGATCTGGGTCTGTTTCTGGGTTTTCCCTAGTTGTATATATTTCAATTTCTAAGTCTATTATTTAGCTTCCTATTGTCAAACCGACACTCCATTTGTTTTTCCTTCTATAAAGGTCATTTCTGTTTTTTCTCTTTTTGTGGCTGTTTATATGACATTAAAGATTTCATGGTTGTGGCGCTTTCTATTGTTATTTGGTGTGGCGAAACATTGCTATTCTTTTGAATCATTTCTATCAGTTCTTCACATGCCTGGTTAAGATCAAGACTGGAGTGACAATTGTTCTTTAATTTCAGATTTTTTTTTTTTTATAAATTTCATTAAACCTAGTTTGCATGCGATGTCTCTCAATATTGACAAGCTTAATTTTCGGTTTAGCAGGATACGATAGTCATAAAGCCTGCTAAGAAAACTCCGATTTTGTTAAGGATGATAGTCTTGATGTTTGCAATGGTTTGTGGAGTTTATATCTGCTCAGTTTGTTTAAAGCAGACAAGTATCCATAGTAAAATTAAATTTCAAGATATCCAAGTAGTTGAGAGGCTGTCTCCTGATGATGACCATGGAAATCTGCAAATTTCTAGTGTACATTATCCAAATCCCGAAACTTTTAGCAGGTAACTGGGCATTTCTGCCTTTTGTTTTTGAATTAGATTTCATCAAAAGGTGTGCTTTAAGTTCTCTGTTGGTGTATTTCTAGGGCTGAATGTGCGCATAATCCTGTACGGTACTTTGCTATATTGTCGATGCAAAGATCAGGGAGTGGATGGTTTGAAACATTGTTAAACAGTCATGTTAATGTAAGCTCAAACGGGGAGATATTTTCTGTTTTGGATAGGAGGATAAATATTTCATCAATTACACAAACTCTTGATAAAGTCTACAATTTGGACTGGTTCACTAGTGCATCAAAGAATGAATGCTCCGCAGCAGTTGGCTTCAAGTGGATGCTTAATCAGGTAATTCTGGTTGAAAAGTAGGTTAATGTTTAAATCCTTACTTCATTTGTGCTGCTGGTTGGCTACTAAAAGACTTATCTTTTCATACACTGTTGGCATAGTAATTGAAGGTGTAGAGCTGTCAACTACCACTCTACTCAAGTGGCTACCCAGAATAAACTAACAATCTATATATTAGCTTCAAAGAAACAAAAGGAAAATAACTGTATTTCTGATAAAAAAAATAAATTCTTTCCTTGTCATACTCTTTAGAAGGCACACTCCCTATCAAATCCTTTAATGTTTAATAAACTTGTTTTCATGTGTGACATTACCATAAGTTGCTATTGGCTTATCTCGTGATTATCCTGTTAGGGTATATGGTACCGTATTAGATCCAAATGCAACAATTAGGAAACTGTTAGGGTATATGGTACTGTATTAGATCCAAATGCAACAATTAGGAACAAGCTATTCATCCAATCAGGATGTATGATACCCTATTAGAAACAAATATAACGAAAAGCAACAATTGAAACTTAAAGGTTTTAGCATTTCTAGTGAAAACCTTAAAGTTTTATGAATTCCTGCCAGATTTGTGAAACCCCTATTTTGATTGAATCTAATCAAACCAGCTTCTTTTTTCATGCTAAAAGTATCTGTACCTTAAGCAACGCAGATATAGAAATGGAAAGGTAGCATTATTCATACCATTTTTTATTTATTTATCTGGTGGATATTAGCTGATGCTCAGAAGGAATTGTGCACTGCTGTTTTAGGAATCCAGTTTCTCTGATGGTATAACATGGTGAATAAAGAAATTGTGGCTGAGACTGCAATGCTCTCTTAGAAGGCCCAAAAATCATGTTTTTATGTTATGAATCCATACAAGCTGCTCCGGTAGGTTAAACCCAAACAAAACTGTGTTCAGATGTCAATAATGAAAAATTTCTTTTGTTGTCTGGTTTTTCATTGCCAGTTGCTGTAGGGCACCGTGAGAGCACTTTCTAATTTGGAAATAGAATGCAGTTTATGTTTTTGATTGTTAATAGACAGTTTAACTTGATGGTATTTGCTTTTAGCAATTTTCACTTGGATAGCTTATAACAAAAATATTTACTATTTTTCTTATAAACAAAAACAATAAAGGAACTTTAGGTTTCCATATTTTCTTTGAAATTATGTACTTTTAGGACAGCATTTTGCATGGTTGAATGAGGTTACAGAAGTAGCTTTTTTCATTCCTGTTCAACGTTGTCAGTTCCTATTTAATTTCTCAACATTTGCTAAAATAATATAAAGCAACCCTTCAGCTGAGCAAAACCTGAAGTAGGAAGAACCTCATTTGTCTATGGGGACTAGAGGAGGATGGTGTGTGCATTTCTCACTGAAAGTTTGTTTTAGGGAGGAAAATTATGAAGTAATAATTTAATGTATTATTAATTATGCAGGGAGTAATGCAGCATCATAAGGAAATATCAGACTACTTCAACCGCAGGGGTGTATTTGCAATATTTTTGTTTCGAAGAAATCTACTGCGTCGCATGGTTTCAGTTCTTGCAAATTCCTATGATCGCCATGCTAAGCTATTGAATGGAACCCACAAGTCTCATGTTCATTCCACTGAAGAGGTCCTTCCTTCTCCCCCCTTCCCACTAATTCTTAATTCTATTTCATGGTATATGAAAGAGTTGAGCTGTTAGCTGTAATTTCTTGTAGGCCAAAACACTTGCGAAGTACAAGCCTATCATAAATTCCACACTGTTGATTTCTGATCTGAAGGAGGTTGAGATCACAGCTGCCAAGGCCTTAGAATACTTCAATAGCACCAGGCACATTGTTCTGTACTATGAGGATCTCATAAAAAACCCTGCTGTAAGTTATCATGACAAGCTCTCAGGAAACCATTGGCATGCAAAATTCAACTCGTTTTCTACATTTTCAAGTTCAAAGAGTAATACGTTGATAATTGGAATAATGCATGTTACCTAGTATTTCTGCGATTCAACCAACAGACCTTTCAAATTAATTTTAAGAATTTTTATCTTTGTAAAATTTAAGTAGCTTTTTTAAAATTTTAGAGAAATTTAAATTACATCTTGGGCTCCCTTGAATGATTCCTTTCTCAAGATAATCCTTTCCTTTGGAAATGGTCGACCATTCAAATTCAGTTTGTGAACTTGATATTTTTGCATTTGCTGACAGTGCTTTTAATTGTGAGCCTCTCAAGGTGTGTTATTTATCATGCTTGTGCTGCAGAAACTTAAGGACGTTCAAGCATTTCTAGGTCTTCCGCTGATGGAGTTAATGAGCCGTCAGGTCAAGATACACAAAGGTCCATTGTCAGACCATGTTAAGAACTGGGAAGATGTCAACAAGACACTGAATGGAACTGCATATGAGAGTTTCCTCCAAGCTGATTATTAAAGCTGACGTATGAATGGTGTGAATACCAACTTCCAACTAATTTTGTTAGAGCTGACAAGGTAGTGGTTCCCATAAAATTTTTGACAACGACCCAGGTGTGATGCTTCCAGGTTGTATCCTCTATCTTCACTCAATTCCTTGATCTGTGTTCAAGCTCTTGTATCACTCCGATAATCTTCTCGTTGATTGATTTTAAGCAATACCATGTAAAAATGTCAGCTAATCAGTTTTAAGAAATGCAAGCAATTGTTCAGTAGGCTAATTGTGTATATGCTCTCCCGACTCAATTTTGTTTTTAGTTTGGAACCGCTATCCTGTCCTAGTGTCATTCCTCCACTCCTTGTTCCTGTACAGTACATTTATTTTCCCACGGATATTAGGAAATTCTGATATGTTTTGGTTCGGTTGCAAGTGCTTAACTTGAATGCAACTTGTTAGGTGATCAGATTGAGTGTGTCGAAGTTATGGTACACCAAATTTATTTAATTTGACCTATTTTCTAATTTGGTTGAACTGTTGCCAAGTTTTTTCCAGAAGATTGTTTCTTTCACCTGGTGTTGTGCTTCACTGCTTCCTCACATTGAATTGTTTTGCGCACCTTGTTTTCAAGCATACGCCAGATATTCTCATGTTCAATGGCACCTGGGTTCTGGAACACGAGACTACAATTATTTTGAATGCTTAATGCGAAAGACAATGGCAGCATGGCTAAGCAAGCCGTTAGTACCCTTGCTGTAGACTAGGCTGGACGGTAGGAAAGGAATGCTAGCAAATTCTTCTCGTTCCAAGCCATGCCAATTCCTTGGTTATCTTCTTTTAGCAACATGCTGCGGACGAAGGCTAGAACCTATAACAATGCTAAGGCACTGTTTGGTCGGAAACGTGTTGCAACCTGTTTTTAAAAAATTTAATTAAAATTTAATTTGTTTTTTAAAATTTAATATATTTTAAATAGTTTTGATGTATTGATGTTAAAAATAATTTTTTAAAAATAAAAAAATTATTAATATATATTTT